GGGTCTTGAAAATCACTCCATAACGAGATAGACCAGCATTTAAGTAGCGACTCTCTGCGCAAGATTTAAGCGCATTTTCTCGTTTCTGTTGAACTCCAGCGGCTTTCATGAACTTCCAACGCTCAATCGGAGTCTAGAGAAAGATTATTTAAGAAATTTTGCTTCAGTTCCTCATGAAATTTTCAAATAAAAGTCTTTTTGGCAAAAAGGGCCATAAAAACGTAATCCTTCGGTTTTTTAGCTTCTTTTGGATGTCACTACTATATTTACCTCATTCACATCTCTCCCTATATGGATATGTCATTAGTTATGCCATGATATCCGGGGCTTCGCCCCGGATGACTTCCCTCTAGGTGAAGGTTGTATTCTATCATGACGCTCAAAGTGAAGGTCACCAGAGTACGTGGCTCTATATATCGAAGGTATGCGGGCCACTTGGGGGGAGGGGGTGAGGGAACTTAGGTCCCCTGACAGCCAACTGAGATGTAATTTTGGAGGTCATGAGTTGTCAATAACGATAATTAACACATCTGCAGAGCGCATGCTAGGCCCCGCCTCTATCCAGATACCTCTCGCAACTTAGCAGAGGTCCACCGGGACACGCCTCGTGATTATGAAACGGGGATTTCAAACGAAATTGAAATGCAAATTTCAGTATCGAAATTCCACCAAACAAAGTGAAAACTTGGACTTAGGGGTTTTCAAGTACGCTCTCTCCAAATATGTAGAGAATTTTTTCATAAGAACATGTACAAGGTTTGTAAAAAAAAATTCAATTTTTTTTTAATATCAAGTTTCAACCAATTCAAAAAAAAATACAAACAGATTTTTTCAATGCAGTGCATTGTGAACGGAGTTTATTTGGGTCAAACAGCCTCAGGCAAGTCCACAGGATGTAACGGTAGATTACTGCGTTCATACGACATGATAAGATTATCTGCACGATAAGTGACTTGATTGTCAAATCTCTGCTATTTATACGAAACTGTCGCCTGAATCCGCCTTTTCAGCCTTTCTTTGGCATAAAATCGCCTAATTTCACGTTTTTAACCTTGTTTTGCCATGAGTAACTGCTCATTGCTACAGGCAGTAAGATCGGATTCCTGTTCACACCTCAAATTATTGTCCATGGCTGGACGAACTGTGATCATGGTGTCTCTATGTCTTTGTTCCATTCATTATCACTTACCTGAGCGTAATTTTGTTTTCATGGAATTCGCCATCGTGAAAATTTTGATACTCGGAACGGTGAAGCATCAAAATAATTCCACTAGGAATACGATGAAATTCTCTGATATCTAGATATGTTTTTTTTTGAATTGGTTGAAATTTGATACTAGAAAAATAGAATTTTTTTTTTATAAACCTTGTACATGTTCTTATGAAAAAATTCTCTACATATTTGGAAAGAGCGTACTTGAAAACCCCTAAGTCCAAGTTTTCACTTTGTTTGGTGGAATTTCGATACTGAAATTTGCATTTCAATTTCGTTTGAAATCCCCGTTTCATAATCACGAGGCGTGTCCCGGTGGACCTCTGCTAAGTTGCGAGAGGTATCTGGATAGAGGCGGGGCCTAGCATGCGCTCTGCAGATGTGTTAATTATCGTTATTGACAACTCATGACCTCCAAAATTACATCTCAGTTGGCTGTCAGGGGACCTAAGTTCCGTTCCCCGGGGGGAGGGGATTTGCAGACTTCGTAGGCCCCCTTTTGCGCTGCAGACTTCTGTCGTCGCTTAGTTAGGGGGTCTACTATCACACTGCTACCAAAGGTCAGGTAGGGACGCTGCCTTTAACCACTTGACGACGACGCCTAATTTTGCGTGGCTGTGCTGTGGGACGACGCGATATTGCACAACAACTTCGTGGTTATTCATTTTGTGGTTTTTTACGAGATGTGGGACTGTTTTGTACACATTTGTAAGCATTTTCTTAGACGACGGCGTCACATCGCAAAAGCTCCGTAGACTACTCGACTGCAAAAAACAGGAAAAAAAGCTAGACCTGGAGGATGTGCCTTTGCAAGAGGTAGGGCCACCGGTGATACATATTGGGGCTAAAAGCTTACTTAGACCCGCTTCCAAAGGCAGCGAATCCTTGAACACCAGCAAAGGCGAGCGGTTGTCGTGAACTTATTATAGGCGGTCTTATTCGCCCTGAATTTTCCGGTCAACATCCATGTTGTCTCCAACATCGCACAGCATGTTTCATCAAAATTGTCCTCAAAAGTTCATAAAATTAACTCCAAAGGAGGTGCGCGCTCATTATCATTTGTGAGTGGCCTATATCGTGTCGGGACCCCACATTCCCAACAGCTCCCCGCGGTGGTGTTCGGCGAGGCGCGGGCAGTTGGATCTTACAAGGCCTATACATGAGCCACAGAACTGTGCAAGTGACTGTTTACTAGTAAACAATCATCTGCGAATTCAACGACTTCGAGGTAATCATTGAGAAGTTCTTCGTTCACAGCAACTATTGAAAATGAGAAGAGTGATTGCGATAGTATTCTTCTAGTTGAAAATTCTGTAGTTTCTCGCTTTGCCCGTTCGCATCGGAACCACTCGTAATTTGGGCGAGCTATGGGTGTGCGTATATTACATCATGCTTAAAATATTCTTTTTGTGGAGGCGCCGGCGGACGGTTGTTTTCTTTGCCCATTACCTTTAATTGAATGAAGTTGCTAATAGTTCCGATGTATCTGACGTATCCAAAAGCTAAGGAAAGGGAACTGTTTTACAGTGAAGAGATTGGTTAACGCCAGCGCGCTCCCCATTCAAAAAGTATTCCTGCCACATCTCCTAGGAATGAACTTTTGTTGTTTACTCTTGTGAGCATATGAACTATATAGCAACTAAGTACAACCTATGTAAATTTGATGATCTGAGAATGCTTTTCGGAAGAAAGAGGGAGGGGGAGGGGAAAGCGCAGCCAAAAGATTTTTTGGAGTTTTTGGATAAGAGATAGATATATAAGGTGTCCTAAAGCATGTATGCACGGCTGCACGTCAGGACGTACGCCGCGCGCGGCGGCCGCTCTTCCACACACGCCGCGCTCAAATCTTGGGGCCTCCAAGACTCTCCGCCAATAGAGATTCCAGTGGCAAAAACAGGGAGTGAGGATGGGAGCACATACATGACTTACTGCTATAAGTAAGACTGCGCTATAAGCGCTGCTGTTGCAAGGGCCGAAGTACGTTGCGGCGTCGCTTCGCGAAAAATTCGCGCCGATCGTATCTCCTGACCGTCCCCCTGTATGCACTTTTGCATCTTACATCTTAGCACTGCTTCATGTCTGTCATTCTCTCAAAGCACCGGATGAAACGACTGGCTCAAGTTAGGTTATTGTAAAAAGAAAACACTGACCTCTGATAAGGATTTCCAGCACCTCAGCATCATTGTGAATTCGCTGCCATTCGGAAATTTCTTGAAAAGAATTATCAGGTTGTAAACTAAGTTTTGCAGCTTTTTTCGTAACTTTATTCTCCTTGAATATGGTGCACTCAAACTTTGGCGTTTTGAAGACCTTAATGTCTGCTAGAGCGCAGGAACTGTACGGTAACATCCAGGCATTTTCCGTCGACGAGGGATCCCAAGGATATTTGGTTTTTCTTGAGCAAAATAAAGCAGTCCGTTATCTAGACTATGCGCAATGACCCAAGACTGCGTGAGGATTGTGTTACTAGAAGTCGACTCATTCGCCTCATTAGAATGAAATAGAATCTAAGGACAAGTCGAAATTTGATGTCCTTGCGAAGTTGAAAGAGTCACTGCATGCAAGGCTACTAGGGACGAGCGCTAACGACTGAGTCGGAATTTCAGAAATTAACGGGGCAATGCATAGTGGTTTTTTTACGTGCCTGACCAAATATCACATTCATTTGTTGATTTAACGCCTCTTTTCTTGTTTAGAGCGACACACCATAGTAAAGCAACAACAGTCTTGTCGAGACGCAGACTAATTAGACGGTCCGACAGTCCCCACGAACTGGGCGGTGCCCGGAATCTCCAGATGAGCTGGCACCTCCCGCTCAGATAATCGCCGGGGGCAAGCGGCCGTGCGAATTTTGAGCAAGCGGGCACCGGAAAAATAGTTCGCTGATTTTTTGTGGTCCGCTTGCAGAAATTTGGAATAATTTTGGCCAATTTTTAGACGAACGCTCGAAGATCTATCGCGGTTTTTCTACACATAAGTTGCGGCACAGTGGCCGCATTCTCGCGGATTTTCCGCGAGAACATTCAAAATTATTGAGAGCCGCACGGTCCTTTTTGAAGGACCGCACAGCCCTCAGGTACTTTCCGCTGAAAGAAAGTACCCCAAACTTGGGTAATAAAACCATCGATGGCACCTCTGCCATAGAGTCTCATCTTTTCTCGGCGTACGCCCGAAACTGCGTAAAAAGAGTCTGAGCGCCTGCTGAAAGTTTGGCCAGCGCTCGCTGAAAGAGATTGTTTGACGAGCGCTTGCAGAAAATTTTGTATTGATGCCCGCTTGCAGAAAACGCAAATACCGCCCGCTGAAGATTTGGCCACGCCCCGAAATCCTGCTGACCGCCTGCAGAAAAGCGCGAGTTTGCGGACCGCCTGCCCCCGGCGATTATCTGAGCGGGTGCTCGGTGGTCCCCTCCCCATTAATGTCCCCCATTTTGATATATATATAATATGATGATAAAATCATCTAGTTAAGAACTGCTCTGTTAAGATGCAATACAACAGGGTAGAGGGATCAAGTTCCGAGAATAGCTAACTCGTTAGACTTGACATGGAGGTCCCGGGTTTGTTTGAACTCATTCTAACACAATTTTTCTTGATAGGAAAAAATCTTAGAAGCTAGATCCTGCAGATCTTAGCAGGGTTGAGCGTGGGGTCAGGCGCGCCTGACCTGGGGGGTCGTATTAGGGGTGGAACCGGGGGGGGGTCGTATTTGGGGGTAGGATCATAATCGTCCAAAAGTATATGAAATGCAAAATGCAATTGTAGCAAAATTACACCACTATATCATTATGCATCCGGAAATTGTGGAAATGGAAAAGGACGCATTTGTTGTACGGTTGGATGACATTCGCGATCGACTGCAGCGCTCTCATATCATCAGTCTATCGACAATGATAGATATCTTGGACGGCCAGCAACCTGAGGCAGTGCCTATATATCGCATGAGAGCCTATATCTACGAAGCTCTCACTGTTGCGGAAGCGGGCCTAAACGGTGCTACACGAAGACCATTGCAGTCCTTTCGCGCAATGCAATTGCACGAAAGGTCCACAGCACAGATCGCCTGCTCTTGTGAAGATGCAGTGAGCAGGAGACAGTCGCAGAACACTATAGCGAATTCGGTGGCTTGATGCACCCCACACTCCCCTCTTATTTGGATAGACGAAGGAGTTAAGAACATGAAGTACTTTCCCATGGAACAAATCTTTTTGCAGTTCCCGCTGCCAGAAGAAGCACATTCACGGCATAATCCGTGGGAAAGGCTCCTACCAGAGCCAGAACACATACCATTTCATCGCGAGCAACTGGATACTCCAAGTTCATCGGAAACTGAAAGCGATGAGATTGAAGAGGATGGGGAGGCAGGTGTGTGGTCAGACGAAAGCGACTAATTCATACAGGTTAGTAGAATAATTGCACACATTTTTGGACATGTGCGCAAAAATGTACTTCTTTAGGATTTGGAAGCATGGAAGCCATGCTCTCCAGGAGATTCTCCGATGCCGAGCAGGTACAAAAACGGCAGAGTTGGATTGGTCTGACAGGATTTACCCAACCTACCGTATACCTACCGTAACCCCACCAGGTCTCATACCAGCGAAGTGAAGGCTATTTTCGTAATCAGGATAATAAATAACCCTTTGTGGACCGTTTTTATAATATCCTATCACAATTTTCCATCTTCTCTAATGCATGGAAGGCGCTATTTTCAAGCATGATTAACTTGTTTTCAACGATCACAAAAGTCAACCTTTTTACACTTATTACAAAGTATTACTCTTCACTAATATACTCTAACAATTTCGTCTCAAACCATTCTAAAGTAATGCTTTTATAAGCCCCATAAAAATTTCGACAATGGCGTTTTTCACCTCGACTGGATTTACTGCATGAGCTCCTAGAAAGCCAAAACAAGACGAATCTACTTCACATACCTACTATCACATTTACGATGTTTGTGCTAACTAATCATATCAGACTTCTTCGAAAAAGTCGCCTTTGAGATGAAGTTAATGGGGTCAGGCGCAACCCCTCAAAAGCTCAGGCCGCCTGAGCTTTTGAGGGGTTGCGCCTGACCCCATTAACTTATCTTCAAAGAACTCAAAACTTTCCATTTTCACACTCAAACTGTTGATTGATCCTTCCTCTCCCCGCATCCAAGATTTCATCCAGTTTCATCATCTCTCGAAGAAGTTGTCAATGGTTGATTCCACCCATCCACCGAAGGGAATCGTCGCGTTTTGCTCCATTAATTTCGTCTTACTGTAATACGCATCACGTGCAGTGTTTCTGCACGGAATTGCAAAACGCGCCAAAATCCATTTTTCGACCCGGTCGTTCCATTGTTCCGTCCCTGCCGCCAGCTGTCACCAAGGTGAAGTTTTTTTCTTGTTTCTTTTCTATTTTACTTCTTCTAGGCATGGAGGAAAACGGGTACGAAGCCGCACCGGTTCAAATTGCGCTCATACGAATATACGAGCTGTTAAGGTTGTTCCAATGGTAAGTGGTTGGAATAGGTTTTTGGTGCCCAAAAGTTATGGAAATTGACTTTGAGGTGTACTATACTATTGTACAGCTGTAATGTTTTAATGGCTTGTGAATAATTGTGAGTTTCAATTTTTTGATAATGTTCAGATGTTGCTTCATTCTTTCAAGTTTCGAATTTTTAGGCTGATCATTGACAGAATCGTACGTGGTGACTTTTCATTCTACGCTGCATCTGGAAGAGCACTTTCATACTTCCTTTATGCGTCCTGGAAGTTGTCCGAAACACTGGAGGAATGGTTCTCTTGCGAAATTCTACATCGTATTATCATCCAGCAAAGCTAAAGATTTTAACAAATCAGCTGGAATTATGGAATTTTTATCGTATGTCTCATGTTATTTGTTACATTGCTTCTTGATTGTTATTGTTGATGAAGTTTCATTTTTTGTTCCTTATACCAATGAAAGAGGTCTTCTCTCCAATATATGCAACAAATGCTTTTGCTGCCGAGAATTCGTTTTAACATTATGTTTAGAAGTCTACAGTGCATGAAAGACTTCGATGATACGGTGCTTGTCTGGCCGGGCTCTCCAAGCCCTTCGCCTGCCACTACACCGGCTACTTTGAATGGATCACCGCGTAAAGGTGAGCGTATTTTTGGCTATCTGATAAAATAATGGTTTCTAAAGCGATTATGATTACTCAGCTTTTTTATTTCTTTTCCGAGAGTGGCATGAATTGGTTCTTGTTATAGAGGTGGTCCCGGAGAGTTGGAGTGTCGCATACGCATCTGATCCAACTGAATGGGAACGTAAATTTGACGAGTGTTGGGATGATGCAGAAAATTCTGGATAAGAAGGATTGCAGTCCCGAACACGATATCACCTACAATGAGGTGAGTTTTTGTCCACTTCCTTCACGCTCACTTGCATACTGGAAAATCATAGTCGCCTGTTTGCACACAGCATATGCTTGAAAAAAGTGCTAGTTTCTTTTGGTGCAAGTGATATAGTTTTTATTTGCTTTATTTTTTTGGGGAGAACATAGGAATATTCTTAGACTTTCCCTCTTTTATCAGATTTTTAGATGACCCAGCTGATAGCTCGACTCGACTAGCTAGCTAAGCTGGCACATACGAGTCATCTAAAAAGCTATTCTAGCTTTTTAGATGACTCGTATGTGCCAGCTTCTTATGATGGAAGTTATACATGTGGGTGTACTTATACTGTACATATACTTTTGTCATTTGCATGGGTGCTTTCAAGCACGAAGCTCCCTTTAAATTGCCTGGGAATGGTCTGGGCATGTGCTGTTATTCTCCGTGAATGATTCGAGCAAGAAATGAATGTGGAGAAAGCTGGAGAAATTCACACTTTTGCTGATATCTATTCTGGAAGGGGTCTTATACGCCATTGCATTCGTAATCCATCCAATGCTTTCGTTTCCATTAAAAAATCTTTTTTGAAGTTTTATAGAAATTAATTTATGATCTTGATGATTTCTAGACTCTTTGACGTCGATTCGTCGCAATTCTTCTAACAGCAGTGAGGATGTCAAACCGCCTCCAGAGCTTATACCATCTCGTACGAAAAACATTGCCCGAAGTTTTGTGACCTGCTTGGAAAGAACGCTGACGATTTTCATCTCGAGAAGGATGATCTGGTGAGTTACGTATCTGTTTTCATCCCTTTTTCTTCCAATACTTTCTGAAGTTTGGTTTTTATCAACTCTTACTATCTCATTATCAACATCACACAATGTGCGGTTGTTACCTTCGGTGTACTGGTAGCAGCTAGCTAAGACGAAACAGCTAAGTTTGTAGGCAGACTGATTAAAAACTTCTACTGCTATTTACAGTTGCCTTGGTGATGCAGATTTAGTGTTAGCGCTTCTAGTGAATCAGTGGGAGCTAGCAAACGCTGTTGAAATTTTTTTTGGGATTTCTAAGTAATGAATTACTGGTTTGCTCGCACCTCTACCGCAATCCTGTCTGGCTTGGTAGAGTTGCATATGTGAAGACAAGGGGTGGATGAGAAAAAAGGAAAGCATGGGTCAAAAAGTGCAATTACTGGAACTCTAACTCGCAAACCATTGTCATTCTTTATTTGAGTAGGTTTATCAGCTCCAGAATTTTTTTGGCGCGGATTTAGCTAGCCTGGTGATTGGATTTGACCTTAAGCAGAATTCGGGCATTGGATGGTCTACTTGAAAGTGGATAGCGATGTTAGGCTAATCTAATGGGATCGTTACGTCTAGAGACATTTTGATCTTTCTGTTCCTCCATAGTGTCCATGACTTTCCTAGCAAGCTAGGAGATGACTACGTTTTTCCATAGTGCGCTACGAGAGCTTAGTGTAATTCTTTCACAGCTAAATGCTTCAGAGGCAGGCTCTTTGTTCTCTTAGCACCTAATCCGTTGTAGACTTCAAGTTCAATAGAAAATACTTAACACTGATGCCCTACATGTCATGCAGTGCATAAGTATGAGCAAATGAATGTATACACAATTGTTGTTGGACAATCAGATTTGTACTTTTGGTAAGTAAAGTTCACCGTTCACATATACATATACACGCAGTTCGTTGTGATAATCGGTTGATGATTGACGGTTGACACTTGTTGATTAGTCTCTTTTGAGGCTTGCCGACTCTCCACGTGATGGATCTTTTACCCCAATCACTTCGTTCTTACGAGGACGTCCGTTTGGTAGCTCAGGAAGGAGATCGCACGGCATCAGGTTTGGACTTGCTTTTGGTGTTTCAAACCCACAAACATTGTCAATCCGTGCACGTTCTTGGGTAACTCTCTGAATTAGAGCGCGCAAAGCTAATCCCTCTTTTTATCGAGAAATCACTAAAAAATCAAGAATACCATGTACGAACTATGCTCAAATGTTTTTGGAAGTTTTTCTAGTTTGTGGAAATTAGATTTCTCACGCACGTTACAATGAAGCTTTACACCTACTTGATGCATTGAATGCTCCATTAATTGCTCTTATCTTTTTTTTATTCACATAGCTACAGTTGGTGTCAATCACGTCCTCCCTTTTCCATAGGAGCAACGTGTCCGCAACGCGAGAGCCAGGCGTGCAGACCTTCAACGATGAGGCCAGTTCGATTGCTCAGGTTGAACGCGCGCGACCGTGGCGCACAGCTCTAACGTAGCGACAGTGCCGACGAAGAAAGGAGTACGTGATTGACACCATAGTCTTTGATATTACAAATGTTACAAATATTACAATTTTCAGTTTTTCCTAGGATATATCGCCTGTCGTGTCCTATTGAACAAAAAAGCAAGCGGGGAGGCGAGGGAGAAAGGGCGGGCCTCCCTTATTTTGAGAAAAACATGCCCGAGTACGAGCCGTCGCGCACTCAGACCCTCCGCTCGGGGGGTCTGAGCGGCCAGAGCCTCACCATCCGTTAATGTTTGTTTTTGTCAATGTTGTGTTGACTATAAAGTTATTTTGTTAATGGTTTTTGTTTATCAATAAAGATCTGTTGTGTTTGTGTTTTTGATCTTGTTTGCTCACGATAACAAAGGCGAGAGCTGAAAGGTGGGGAGAGGGGGGGGGGGGGAAAGGGGGGGTCGTATCTAACACGACCATGAAGGGGGGGGGGTCGTTTTCGGGCGGGCCGCGCCTGACCTCTTGCTCAACCCTGGATCTTAGCTTAATTCCACCACCGGCACCAGCCCTCATCTCCTACGTCTCTACGTAGCTATTTTTCTTATATTTTTTCCTTTCTTATCTCATTTTCTCATTTTCTTCCTTAATTTTGTGAGTCAGGCGATGAGTTTGAGTTTGTATTCATATGCTTACCCCATTTTCAAAAAACATCTTCCATTTATTGATATTCAATCAATTTTTTTGCTATTTCCGAGCCGTGAAAAAACGAACCGTGATTTTTCCGACGCGATCTTTCTAGACGAGTTCAACTCTCTAGATTGAGAATCCACGAGCCGTGAATTCCGCGAGCCTTTCCTAGAGCCGTGATATCCCGCAGCCGTGAATCATTGATATTTTTCTTTATTATTTTCCTTTCTTTTCAACTGGGAATATTCTTCCCCAGACTTTTCTTACGCGCATATACAAAACTCAATGACTCTATCGCCACAGCCGGCATTGTACATATGTAAATAGGTTTTCGCACTCAGATAATCGCCGGGGGCAGGCGGTCCGCAAACTCGCGCTTTTCTGCAGGCGGTCAGCAGGATTTCGGGGCGTGGCCAAATCTTCAGCGGGCGGTATTTGCGTTTTCTGCAAGCGGGCATCAATACAAAATTTTCTGCAAGCGCTCGTCAAACAATCTCTTTCAGCGAGCGCTGGCCAAACTTTCAGCAGGCGCTCAGACTCTTTTTACGCAGTTTCGGGCGTACGCCGAGAAAAGATGAGACTCTATGTGGCAGAGGTGCCATCGATGGTTTTATTACCCAAGTTTGGGGTACTTTCTTTCAGCGGAAAGTACCTGAGGGCTGTGCGGTCCTTCAAAAAGGACCGTGCGGCCCCCGAAATTTTTGCATATTCTCGCGGAAAGTCCGCGAGAATGCGGCCACTGCGCCGCAGCTAATCCATAAAGAAACCGCGATTGTTCTTCAAGCATTCGTCTTTAATTTCGCCAACTTTCTTCCAAATTTCTGCAAGCGGGCCGCAAAAAATCAACGAACTATTTTTCCGGTGCGCGCTTGCTCAAAATTCGCATGGCCGCCTGCCCCCGGCGATTATCTGAGCACGTGGAAAAAGCACTGTGAGCCAAATTTTTTTGCCTTTATAACTGTCACACGTGGAAAAAGCACTGTGATAGTATTTTTTTTGACTCTCGCAAGTGGAAAAAGCACTGTGAGCCCCACCAAATCAAGTTTTCACACGTAGAAAAAGTACTGTGAATAACTTTTGCCTGAAAGGACTTTCACTAGCCGTTTTTATGATTGCCTGTGGAGTACCCAACGGCTACTCAATCGCTCGCGGTCACTCTAAAGGGTACTCTCCCAGCGCTTATTTTCTTGATGGCTAATCACTCAACTAAGAGTGACATTTAGCCCCCAGAAGTGGGCACATGCTGCGGCAATGCCTTTGAACCTTGTAGTCCATCGACGAACGTCTGGGCTACAGGTCAACTTCGCGTGATTGTGCATATATAAGCACATCACGGGCCGCGGACGATATCCATTCGTCGACACGAGGAGTGGAGAAAGTATTCTGCTGACCACTACTATCGACTTCAAGATAGAGAGAAGGTATTTTGCTGACCCGAGGATTTGTCAACGAACAACCGAAGAATACGCATCAACCACTACTATCAACTTCAAGTTAGAGGTACTCTCTTAGCTTGATCTTTTTTCTTGTTTC